AAAAAAAAAAAAAAAAAAAAGACGCAAGTTGCACAGACAAAATTCATAAAATTAAATATTTTTAAACATCTTTATATATTATATCAAAATATTATCATAAAGTTAAAACATGCATTTATAAATAAAATACCGATTGTATTAAAAAGAATTATAAAATATGGGCTATTTTATAAACGAAAGATAAAACTACATTTGCTATTAATCTGAAGATCGTGTTAAGCCTGGGATATATAATAAAGCTTCGACAAATCGTTACATGAATATAATGCTACTTGAAAAAAAATATTTTCCCTGTGAAAATCTAACTGTAATAATTTTTAACGTTTTATTACAATAACAAATCTAACATATAAAAAGGTTGTTGTGGTGCTATCATTCTGAATCCGAAGAACTTAAAATTACTGTACTTTAAGATATAGGTGATTTTGTTTTTAACTTAAATAGTTTCTCGACTTTTGATAAACGAAACGAATAAAAACGAAAATATAAATAATATCAATTGAATTTCTCAATGCACTACAAATTTTAGGAACCATTTTATTTTACCCATATAATTTTGTAAAAGTATATGCTTTTACCCCTTGCAAACAAAATTACTACTGACTACGAGTCTCATAAATATACAGTTTACATTGACCACAAACTCGAAAATTTTAAACATATGCATTTAAAGTTAAGTCGAAAAGCTATTTCTCTCATTAAAATAATATGGAGAACTAAATTTTTTAGCCTTTTATTAGGCTTTTGCAAACTTTTGTTGCAAATTTTGTCACCCATTGATACGGCATTCTCAAATGTAACCAACTCAATAATTGGTTATTCAAAAAGCTGAGCGCCCGTGACTTTAAGCCATGTCACTAAGTTGCACTACAAGATAATCCGATTTACAAACAGTACGATGTCGATAGTAAATTTATTTGTCTGCATAATTGAGTTAGCGTCTAGGATTGTTACCAGATCAGGTGTATTTAATCGTCGAGACAACATCCGCTACTGCCAGGTACCTACAAATTAATACCCTACTTCGCAGTGCTTGTTGCGTCTATAAAACCATATATTTTCGACAACAATTAAATATTGGTAACATTGTATAGCTACATGTAAATTTTAATAAAAGTTATAAACTTGAAATTTCCTTCTCGATTAGTAAAAGTTATAAAGAAAAAGTTGGTATTAACTCAGCAAGTGAAACCCATAAGTATGTCTTAATATATTGTCCTTTTTAGACAGACCTACACTGGTGTACATCAGTGTATCTGGCCAAAAAAGGACAAGATATCCAACTTCAATTGTCCACAAAACTACTTGATTTTGTTGATTTCGATTATTTTTGTTAGCATTATTACTAATAACTTCAGAGCGGATATTAACGTCTTTAGTACAAACCTATATTTTGTAAAATAACAACGTTCATTTAATTAGAAAAATACTTGTAACGTTGACCGCTAAATATTGAATTAGCTTATATCCTTTGTCGTTTTTAAATGGAAAATATATTTTCGTATTAAAATTTTAAATTAAATCAAAATTAATATAGGAACGTTGCAACATTTTTCGAAAAGCATATATTTTTCCAATTCAACAACAGCAAAGAATTTTTTTCTATATGAAACTTACACTAAAATTTAAGAAACTGTTAAAATTATATAATTATATGTATTTATTTTATTACTTCCATTTTTTTAACTACTTAAAACTGAAAGCAAAGAGTTGAGAAAAATGTATTTGAAAGTTAAAATCACACCCGTTCTTCGCAGTTTATGAGAAGACATTATTTAGTTTGTTTTGCAAACTTTACTGTTGAAATGGTTTCACTTTATCCGATGTGAATGCAATAATGAACATTTCAAAAATGGTTCATAAATCTAACAGTAGAAACGTTCATTATATTTAAAAACTAGAAAGTTTGTCAAAACGTCAAACACTTATGTGCATAATATGGATCATTTAGATCAGAAGTTTAAAAAAATAACAAAAAGAAATTAGCACAGTCTTCCCGAGTCACGTTGTATACTTTATGTTATTACATTTAGCATGAGTACAGATATAGTTGTCACAAGGCATGGACAAATATTTGTGTTGATATGTATATGAAATTAAGTACATAGAGCAAACAAGGCTTTTCCCGACGAACAGTTATATAAGCGTTATTCGGCCATTGAATTAATATACTAAACCAGTGAAAATTAAAAATACTGAAATTAACTGCCAAATTGGTTTTAGCTGATCTTCCAATTGAATCTGACCTTGGTATTAAATCCGAGATAAAATCCTCAGGAAAGAATAAAAAAAATCATTTTCAAGACTAAGCAAATATTAGACCAAAATCATCGACAATATTAAATGTTTTGTCTTAATTGAATATTCCAATTTGAAGTAATCACGCTTCGCAAAATTGCATTAATCATTAGATGAAAATATCAAAATTATGTTTCTTGCTCAATTTACTAATTGTAACACCGCACTGCTCCACTTTGATATTAGGTCATTAAAAAAAATTGCAATTAGCAGAGACAGTTTGTGTAAGCAACTATCTAGTTGCAAATATTTGTATGGGTCGTCCTTCCATCAACTAGCTAAACACGGGTGTTTGCAGTAATTATCTGTTGCAGTAAATAAACTGAATCTACACCCTATATTTACTATTTAAATAAACTAATCAAAACCACGTATAACGTATAAATTGTTGTAATTTTAATAAGAATATAACAATAGAAAACAAGCTATTGAGTTCTAATGAAGGTTACTTCTACAAAGAAAATTTATGAATATGTATACGCATGCATAAGGAAATAACAAATTCAATCATGCTCTAATACTCTAAAAAAGCATTTGCGAAAACCCAAAAGATCAGCAAATAAAAGTAAATTATCTATGAGCTAAGCAAACAAAATAAATCTCTTTAGAGCAACCCTAACTTATGGCCATTAATGCTACGTTTCAAGTCCATTATGATTAACTATTTATGAAGTAAAGCTCGTTTTTTTCGGAAGGAATATAAATCCTCATTTAGATGACGCCAGTTCTTTAATCTTGTTAAAGACAACGGGAAAAGAAAGTGCCATTGAAGAAACGCTAATGACGTACCAAGCCACATGTATGCACATAATTGTACGCTTTATGAATATTTCCACCACAAACTATCCTAAAATTATACGCTACAATTACAAGTCTGCGAGATCAACAGGAAATAACTAAAATATAATAATTAGATGAGATCAGTATGTTCCAGCATTTACCAGTTTTAAATATCACTATTAATCATTGGTATATCCTCTAATTAAGAGCCTAATGTGTATTGTTGACGACAATAAAAAGCCCAAAAAAAGATACGAAAGATGTAGAAGTTTGTAACTGGTCATTCCTTGGTCAATAAATGGAGATTATTCAGCAGCATAAAAAATCTAGAAAAAAATGCATTGAAAACAAACATTATTGAACGAATGGTACACGAAAGTATTAACTTATAAATGTAAGGATTAATTAAATTTAAACGGCTTAAGTAATTAAGGAAAGAACAAAATACGTTCAGATAAATTTTTCAAAAATTAAAAAATTATAACGCTTCCATCCCGATTTACAAACACAATATTTTCAGACTCAAAAACACGGGTTTACCTTTTTGATCAGCTCTCAATAGAATCCATGAAGCAGAATAGATGACTGAAAATTAAAGGTGAATCATCAGAAAAATAAACGATTGAAAATTTTAAGAAATAAAAAATCGGAGGCAAGCACTAACTTTGCCTTAGTGGTTGATTGGTTTAATTAAGTGAAATTATATACATTGAGGGGTTTTTAAGACAAACAGCTTGCATTCCTAAAATCAAAACTGTTTTGAAGAGACTTTCCATATCAAGAAATAGCATATGTTAGCTTTCTCATAACGGTAATCATTCAAATCATCATTATCATCATGTTATAATTAAAAATGTAGTATAGTCATATATTCGATATTACAGTCGACTACAATAAAATAGAATTGTTTAAACGCGTTTATAAAAATAATATAAGCATTATTCGTCAGATTGATAACAACTAAAAGATGTCAATGGAGGACATGATCCAGATCTTGCAGCTGTTTCAAACGATCTTGCCTGGACATAATCAGCATCATTGTGTTACACTTTTCCAATTATTTACAGGTGATCGGTTTGGAAAAATGATGATGAAAAAGTTTCGTAGCTCAGTTAGAACTTACTGTTTCTTTCTTCTTCTTATTCTTCTCTGCAGCTCTACAATGCTTGGTGAGTCTTGGCTGACTGCACGATCATTTTCCAACATTCTCTATCTTGCATCAATGCAGAATCGTATTTTATTCCGTGTGTATTCTAAATCCGCACTGGATTCTTACCTTGACTTCCACAGATATTTTGGCCGTTGATTGTGACCCCCACTTACCTAAAACTTGTGATGCCATCTCGAAATTGTAGCTCCCATTGTAACGTTTTGCCTTATCTTATCTGTTCTGGTTCTTTCACAAACACACATGTCCATTTAATTCCGCAGGGTGGATAGTTTTAATTCAAAAATAAAGTTTTACTGTGATTTTGTCTCTTTTTCACATAAATTGGTAAAACAGTTGAATAGGAAAAATCAGAATTAGTTTAATTACGAATTGATTATTTTAGATTTTTTTAGATTCGAAAGATTTTCCGCATTGACTTTCAGCTTCTTATCTAAAGTGTGTTGACAAAGATACAGATCCGTTTCCTCCAATTCAATGATAATTGGTAGGGCAAGCATTTTTTTTTATTTTTCATGTTTTATAAAAACCGAGAATTTCTCCTTTTTTTGGTTTCTAGAGCCAATGTAATTATCTCAGTAGTACTATTAAATTGAACATTGTGTTTATTATGGCATTTATCCATTAGTAATTTAACTATAACAATCCAAATAGTTTTTAGAGTATATCCGTTGCTAAACATCTGAAGAAGAAATTGTATTTACGCCATCATCAGCTACCATTAAATCAACGCGAAATGTAAACTTTGGAAAATAGTGTTTTTGTCTCCACCTTATCGACCAATAAATCCGGCTATAGAAAAAATATTAGGCAATGTAGCTTTACGCCCACCGTTAAAATGCAACACTAAAACAATGTAATAAAAATACAAGAAGTTTTCTTAATATGCCGACAAACTTTAAGGGGGGCATATCAAAATAAACATTTTTGCGTCATAAACGAATGATGGAAAATGCAAGCGCTTCGAGATACAGAATGCTGAAATTAAACATTTTATTTTGTTATTTGCTCCAACAAAATTCTCTGAAGACCAGAAAGTTTCTAAGTTTAGCGAAACGTATAAATTGAGAAAATTTTGGGAGTATTCGGTGGTGCTTCAATAGAAGTTAGAGATTGTAAAATATGACTCAGAAAAAAAACATCACCCCATACATTCTGACCATCGTTTGTCACATTAAAACGATAAATTCTGGAGCGTAACCGATCCGAATTTGGTATAAGAACTGCACGAATTCGAACGAAAAAATAGAACAACATTTATAATTTCGACACGCTCTCTCTCTATCTCTCAAAAACGCTGCGTTGAACATTTATCTATGAATTAAAAATCGTTGTCTGGATTCGTACTGTCTTGTAGACACATCTATGGAACATCCTGTATAGAGTATCAACTTCAACAAAAAACAATTTCGCAACGGATCAAAGAATTGAGTATACAAAGACGTTATTTCATGGAACTGTGCAGATAAAATCGATCCGATTGGGACTTAAGCATGGCCGCAAATTGAAAATTGTCTAGCTTACATTTGAACAAAAGATCCTATAACGAGTTTACGGATCAAGTATTTATGGCAAATCTAGATAAAGCCAGTTTGGTGGTGGTGGCAAAGCTGAATTACTGTAAAATTAAATCGATGTCTACGTATAACTCCTTGAAATACATTCAGCAGATAACATTAGTACCAGAGTGAGTTACTCTGATTATCCTTATCACCCATCAATCTAAACTTTTTGACTATAATAGCAAAAGCGATTCTCGAAGAAGCAGCACGCGGAGTAGCGAAATTATGTTAAAATATATTTAAGCCCATTTATTATAGATACGTGCTATTTTGCAAGTCGTAAATATACATACCGATTAATGCAAACAGTGTCAAACGAAACAGAAACACATTCTAATTATCAATAAGTTGTTAGACATGAGTACGATTTTTTACGAGATAATAAGGACGAATCTATACTGAGAAAAAAGTTGTCCGAAGGCAAAAGACAAATATGCCAGATTAGAGATAACAAAACTGGACTAACGACGACTAATAAACAGGAAAGTCTGAAAAATGTAAGATATCTCTGCGATCTCTGCGGATATCTGCAAGAAAACGACAATATCCGGACAGCCACACACACATCCCCAAAATACAAAATCAGGGGTCCGATGATATCACACTAGATGAAATTAACAACAGCTTGAAGGACACGAAGAAAAACAAATTACCAGGAGACGACGACGTTCTGACGGAGCATTGAAAATATTAACATGGAAGAATAAGCGCTATTTAAAATCTAAAAAATTAACTAACAATTAACTATGCAATAGAGTTATTGGGCACTCAATTTGGACATGCAGTAATAAAAGTTGACACATACGCCTGCGCAATTGAGTCTAAAAATAAGGGACCCCTTAATAAGGATACTGTTCTGTGCTATTTGTGCAGCAATACTGTACGTTTTCTTCTACTTTATACTGACAGTTGACATTTCTAACGCCTGCTTGCAGGTTAAGTCCACAGATCGCTAACCTCTGTGATCTGGCTAGCATCCAAAGAAGTTGGGCTGAATATCAACCTCCGCAAGACCAAGTTTATGACAAATCTAGTCACCAGCGAAAATCTAAAAGTGAACGACATGAATATTCAGCAAGTGTAGTCCTATAATTACCTGAGCCACGAAATTCGATTGGTGTGTGACAATTAAACTTGTGAAATCGGCAGACGAATAGGTCTCACGTAGGATGCATTTGGAAAACTCAGAGACTCCATACCCCGCTAAGCGGTAGAACTGTTCGAATTGCATGACAAGCGTGAAGCCTTGATGCAATTGGTGATTGTTTTCGTTTCCAAGTAGTTCACTTAAC